CCATACTCTTTGACGCTGGGCTCTCATTGCTATGACAGTGTAGATCTGGAGTGAGCAGAGACCCCAGGAAATCCAAGATGCTGAGGATACATGAGGGAGGTATCATATATGCCAAAATATTCAGCTAAAGAAGTAGACCTGTTCTACTTGTCTTGGGGACATGCTCCCATTTTAACTTCAAGTCATTGTTGAGTGCCACAAGGAAATTATGTCGATGCTCCAACAGATCTAATGCCTTTATGTAACACTTAACGTCAGACTTAATTCAAATGCTTTGCAAATGGTGAAGTGGCACTGCAGGGTCTATTTAACTGGTCTTACTTTTAAACAGACAAATCTGAAGAGTCTCAATTTCCATCTGAGGTATTTAGCTGGTATTTTTAAGGACTTCCAGGCTACTTTAGAGAAAGAGAATCAGATCTGATATGATCAATCTAAGTCCCCAAAATTTAAAAACACATTCTAGAGAATCTGAATCAATGAGTGTCCTGGTGTGTTCCCAGATATAATAAGGAGAAGACATTACCATTCTGACAGACATCTGCTAATCACACTTAAGGCTCTTTTTGAAGTCATTGGTCTGTGCCTCAAAAAACCAAACAAATCACAACCCAGAAGAAAAAGAAGGAACGAGCCAGAGACCTGCCATGACACTCAGCCTTAGCAAAGAGGCATCTCAATCAAATATAAGGTAATCAGGTATCAAAGACTCACCTCACAGACAAATATCTAATTTGTATGTAAACCAAAGTAACAGTAAGAAGCAGTTGAAACAATAAGAATAAAGAGAGGACTTCCCTTTTAAAAAAATGAATAAACTCCCACAGAGTAAGGATGAACACGTACACATAGCAGCAACAGTCAAAAGATGTTTCTCTGTCCTAAGTAGAAAGAAAAATGGACTGAGGAATGGCTGACTATTATTCTTAGCAGCTACACATATTCCACTCACTGATGTTGTGGATTCTGGTTAAGGAAGTTACCGCCAGTCACACACTGGGAGTAAAGAACCATGAATGGAAATCTATTGCATTTACTTACCTTAGGACAACATTCATTCTTCCTAAATACCCAAGGTCCAACATTTAGAAGTTGCATAAATATGTTCATTGTGGATTTCTGTCCCTACTGTGTTTCACTCAAAACTGTAATAAAGTATCCTTTTTCCCTTCCCCCCTCATAATTACTGTTTATAAAACAAATCAAAATAAAGGAAAAAATACTGGATCAAATAAAACTTAATCCCATAAAGTGCTCATTAAGAAAGAGTGAGTTTTTCCCAAATTCATTTTAGTGGAAAAATGTATTATACAATTATAATAAAAAGAACAGAACAGTAAAACTAGCAAATGAATATGAATAATAAATAAAAAGTAAATAAATAAAACACACATCAATGAATAACAAGCACAATATGTGGCATTTCAGAATAATTATGATAAGCATTTCCAGAACTCACAATAGTACAGTTTTAAACACTGCAATATATGATCCAAAGTTAGGATTACTAGTGAAATAAAATAAATTAAATTGAAGGTAGAAATATTTTATAAAGGAAAAAGTATAAAGAGAAGCTAGCTTGATAGCCTTAGATACTCCACAGCAAAAATCATGAAAAAGAGTCAATTGAGAAAAAAAAAAAAAAACACCCCAAAACACATTTAGGTCTTTGCTCAGGAAAGCACTTATGCTCATACATAAGTGCTTTCCTGCATCGGGGCCTTAAAAGACAGTGACATGCCTTTAAAATGACCATATTTTAACAATTATTCCACACTCTAGCTTTTACATTCAGAACTGGAATCATATACTTTTAAAAAGTATTATTGGTGGAGTACGGAATTTTAAAAAAAATTGAGAGCTGCCCTGTAAACAAACTATGTAAACTGCACATGTAAGACCAGGTCTACACTACCGCGGTAGTTCGACGGCTGGCAATCGAACTTCCGGGTTCGATTTATCGCGTCTGGTCTGGACGCGATAAATCGATCCCGGAAGTGCTCGCCGTCGACTGCGGTACTCCAGCTCAGCGAGAGGAGTACCGCGGAGTCGACGGGGGAGCCTGCCTGCCGCGTGTGGACTGCGTCTGAACCGCGGTAAATTCGAACTAAGGTATGTCGACTTCAGCTACGTTATTCACGTAGCTGAAGTTGCGTACCTTAGATCGAATTGGGGTGTTAGTGTAGACCAGGCCTAAGTATGCTATTTTATGTTGAACTATGAGAATGTATGTGTGCACACACAGACATGTCCATTGTATGTATAGCTCAAGTAACAGTCAACAGTGGATTTATCTTTTCTGGGTTTTTTTTTTTAAATTAGTGCTACAACAATGTTACGGCCCTTAATTTAAGAGCTATAACATGGGGCAGCTGTTAAAGCAAGGTCTAACAACCTTGACAGTGTCCTATTTATAGTGACCTCATATTAGATTATTCTGTATAGTTCGTTATTGATTAGGAAGCTAAAAATAACTGCTAATTACTGAATACTATCAGAGATAACAGTATTTAAACTCAGCATCTGAAAATGTAAATAAAAAATTCATGTATTCCATGCCAAAGTTCAAGCGTTGCTGAGCACCTGAATGTCGCAATGAAGACATTTTCTATACCATAAACAAAGTCAGGTTCTGCTTTTTGCTACAAATTGCAATGAAACACAAGTTTAATAACCCATTGGTTTTCATCGGTCATGGTAACATTAAGATATTTTTTACATTTCTTTACACTAGTGGAATATTATTTCAGTTTGTACTTTTGAATTATCAACATCAAAATAAACAGAGGATTCAAATATCAACTAGTGAAAATTATTCTTGTTGTCCATAACTGGTGAGAACATGTGGAATATATGGTCACATCTAGTAATTTTCAAAGCTCTCCAGAATTTTGCCCCAACTACATCTCTTCCATAATCTTTTACACCCCCCTTGTACTCTCAGATTGCCCACATTTCCTGTCTACCTACTCTGTTTGTCTTCTTCATCCAGTGGAGACTTGATGCATCCTATTTTTGCTGCTAAATGCTTGGAACAGCCACTCGCTTAATCTGCACTGTGTTCTGTTTCATTCCTACTCTCCTTGAAAAACTGCTAAATCCAATAACATTTTAAAGCAATGCTTTATGGGTTATATTAAATGGTATTACTGCACACTAGTTATACTGGAGTGGTTTTTTATGTGGATACTTTTAAATTACGTCAGGGGGACCTAAAGCACATGGAAAGGCATCCTTTTTTAGTGTGATTAGAAATCCAAATAAAATAAAATAAATATTGTTTTAAATGCAATTTTATGGAGGTTTTAGGAGTCCCTCCCCCCCAGTATTATAATACACCTCTACCTTGATATAACGCTGACCTCGGGAGCCAAAAAACCGCATTATATCAAACTTGCTTTGATCCGCCGGAGTGCGCAGCCCCGCCCCCCGGAGCACTGCTTTACCGCGTTATATCCGAATTCGTGTTATATCAGGGTAGAGGTGTATATTGTACCTCCTGTGCCTTTAGAATGCATGGTCCTCAGGGCAGGGCTCTGTTTTATGTTGATCATATTTCACCATTTGTACAGCACTATGTACTTGCATAGTGCTATATTAACAATAAAAAAGGGCAACTGCACTGATACATTCACATAAGTACAGTACAACTTAGTGGTTGAATTGCGGGGTGGGGGAAGCAAGCCCATAAGATATATTTTAAAAAAAGAAGGCAGGAGGGTTGTCTGCGTCAGATTTTTCATCTGACAGCACTAAGTATTGTGAGTGTGACCCACTCATTTATACACCCCCCCTCCCCCTCTACAATTCTAGCATTGGTTAAATTCTCTGCTGTCAGATCATGACAGAGCTGGATCTCCATTTTTCTTAAAGTCTGTGATGTGTCTCAAATGTTTGGATGATTTAGGCTGCACCATATTAAAAATGATTATTCAAAAAGATTAAAGAAAATATGAAATAAGAAGGAACTACAGTGCAGTGTATAAGATTATTAAGAGTAGACGCTATAAGGCTTAAAAGATAAGTGCCAAATTAAGTAACAGGAGAAAAAAGGAATAAGCCAGGAACTAAAGAAATGCAAGTATAAACTGCCAAGGGCAGTAACAGTAGTGGAGTTAGCTAAATACAGTATCTGAAGGTTAGATATTGTGGGTTACAACTATCAACATTAAGCAAGGGAGGAGTTGAATTTATGTTAGTTCCTATAGAATGGTGTTGTGCCTTTTTGGCAGGGGTGGAGCGCGTTGGTTAAACCTTCACTGAGGACACTGAATATCTGCATATCAACGGATTCTAAAGAAATCTCTACCTATGACAAAATAATAGCCCAATTTGCTGCAGGATCCCGTCTTCCTGATTAAAAAAAAATAAACCCACCATTACTTCTTTTTAAGGAAGAGGGTGTCTTATAACATTATAAGTCTCTGTGACACTTAGAAAAACTTATGACAGACAAAAGACTGACTTTCCATTAGTTTTCCACAGGAGGTAACTGGCAGAAAAGAAATGGAAGACTAGAGCAGATGATTGCTCAGGTAAGCTACTGTTATGTCATAATAAAAAGATCAACTCAAAATACAACGGGATCAACTGAGTAAAAGAAGCAAGTTATGAGATGGAGGGGATATCAGAGATGTTAGTGTAAAAGAAATTTTTAAAAGCAACATGAAAGGTAAATTTTATGCAGTTCTTTAAATTGTCTCTCAAAGACTGTTTAAACTATTTTAAAAGATACTTTTCTGCTTCTATAATTTTGTTAGTCATTTTGATTATTTGAATTTTCTTTTGGTCTGGTGATCAAAATCCATTTTCACAACTTCAATTCTAGCGTCCAAGTCCGCTTGAGGAATACTATACACTTAACAAGTATGTACATTCCTGCCTCTCCACATGCCTCCCATTTTTCATACATAAAACAAACAAATAAATATTCATGGATTTTGCATATTTGATATGCACAATGATTATGATAAATATGCTTTCAGAATAAAAATACGTACAAGTATCCAAATGGACAGTACTTGTCACATACTATGGGTTTGCATTTCTTAGGCCTTGAACGGCACTGACAGATCTCACAGTTGTGGACATCAGTCTGGAAACCGAAGGAACAGTCCAAGGAACACCCTGATATGAGGCCAGTACACAGCTCCTCTCCTGTGAAGAACACATGCAGCTTAGCACAAAATGAAAAGTGTTGTTCATATCAGAAAAAAAATGTATCTATATACAGACTAAACCTTTTCCACCTTTTTACTTTTTATTGGTTTAACTTAACACTACCAGCATTTTTACCTCTCTGTCCTAATATTCCTCTACAATTCTACAGTAATGGCCCCAAACACTGCAGTTTGCAACAGTGTTACTACCGTGTTTTGAACCTGTATTATAGAATACCATAGTGAGTGTTTGTTTTTAAATAATTATTGGTTCCAAGTAAAAACTTGGGAGTAGGCACCTTATATCTAGGGAGTTGCTAGGGAGAGGTAAACATTCCAATGGAGTCCAACATTCATGAGTCATGCGGCCACATTAAATTCATGTCAACAAAACTTCAGTAACACCACATACTGTCTATGTTTTATTTTTGTTTAACAGATTCATGTGCAGTATAATGTATTTTATTTTGAACAGTATTAATCCAAAATAAAATTGGAGGAGCTGTTATTTATTACGGATCTCTATTTGTTACTTACACTGTTGACTGTCACCTGTTTGAGTATTAAGACCTCCCTACTAAAAGCACATTACTACAGTGCCAAAGAGGTGACAATCTTAAATACATCTGCTGGATTAAGTCAAAGTAAAAGAGCTTGAAGATGGAGTCCCATAGCATGATTGAATAGCCTCTTGTGGGAGCAATAAAAAAAGATAGTGGATTGGAGGAATCCGATTACATCTAGTGTAGTAATGTCAGGAAGAGGGTGTGACTTTTATGTTTACTTTCAGTAAACCTTTATTACTTTGAGAATAACAAGTTTGCTTTTCTTCATGGGGGGGGGGGGGGAGGAAGTGGGGGGGACAGTTTAAAACACTAAGACATTGCCAAGCCATCAGGTGTATGAATCCACATAAAATTAGTTTTCCTTTTCTGTGCTGTTATATATTTTTAGGCATGATTACATGGTATGGAGAATAAAAATTAGTAAAGGATGTGCTAACACTTAAAAGTGTGGCATAATGGTGAAATGTACATTTTATATATTGGTTGTGGGGGTGTGAGAAAACAGGAATGCACAATAGTCATTAATTTAGAGAGGGTAAAACAGAGGAAGAGACCTGGGAAATGACTAGCCAAAGAGAAAGCAATAATGAAAAAGGGGACAAGAGAAATAGAGGGAGATAAGAATCAAGAGAGAAGAATGGACTAGATGGCAAGTCAATGCAGACATACACAAAGAGGACAGAAATGAAGGTTACTCACCTGCACTGGAGTTCTTCGAGATGACCTCTGCATATTCACACTCTTGGAATACATGAATTGTGCAGCTTGGACAAGTAGAACTTTCTAGTAGCAGTGCCTGTTGCAGAGCTCTTGTGTCACCTACTCCTCTTTCAGAGGATGGGATTATAAAGAGAATGTGGTTTGCCAACCAGATGAGTTCTTTCCATCACGTCTTCAAAGGCGAAGTTGAAATTAGGACTCCAAGGAAGAGGGGAAGGAGGATGGGGAATGTGAATGTGCAGAGGTAATCGTGAAGAACTCTGGTTACAGGTGAGTAACCTTAATTTTTTTTTTTTTTTTTTGCGAGTCTTCTGCATATTCCCACTTGGGAGTTGAGCAACCAGCACTCCTCCCTCTGGATAGTGGGACAAAGAAAACTAGTTAAATAGATACTGTAATGCTTCTTTACTAAATTGTTTATCTGATTTAGATGCCAGATGTAAACAACAATATTTTGTGACAGAATCGAACTCTAAATGGCAGCTCTACTGATTTTGAATATGGGAAGACAATGAGTGCTTGTCTACATGGCGAATCACTAAGTGGCAAGCCGGGAGTATATCTACAGCACCCCAACTTGCTGAGCAATAACTCATCATGTGGACACTGCTACCGCACAGTGAAAGTCCTGGAGTACAGCCTCTGAAAATTTTCACTGCACTGTAGCAGTATCCACATAGCAAGTTACTATGTGGCAAGCTGAGGCATTGTAGAGTCACATCCTGGCTTGCCATGCGGTAACTTGCTGTGTAGACAAGCCCTAAGGCAGGCCATGGAAGTGGTCTTCACTCTGAGTGTGTTCTAAGCCCTTCTGGAAGAGGCGCAGAGGTGTGTTCAGAAACACTCTTCAATAGAGAGTCAGACACTTAGAAAGGCGCTGGCAGGTGACTGCCTGAGCTCTACTCTTTTCCCCATAAGAGACAAACAGTCTAGGTGATTTTCTGTATTCCTTAGCTATACTCAAACAGAAGATTAATGCTCTCTTAGCATCCAAGTAGTGTTGCTTAACTTCCCCTGAATGACAGTGAGGCCTAGGGAAAGATATTGGTAAATTTATGAATTAGTTAAAATTGAATTCTGTTGCCACCTTGGAGAGAAATTTCAGGTTGGCTAAAGGATCACTTTATCTTTGTGAATAACTTGGGGGGAGGGGAGGAGAGAAGAAGGGAAGAGAGGCAGAGTCCAGCCATGACAGCCTGTAGCTTGCTCAGCTTTCTAGAGGAATAGATATAGATATAAAAACGGCTGTCTCAATTGAGAGTTGAAATAGTGAACATTCTCCCAGGGGTTTGAAGGGAGGATTCATGAGCTGAATAAGGACTAGACTGAGATCCCACGCAGGTGAGGTTCTCTAACCACAGGGTAGACATTATTAGTCCCTTCAAGAATCTTTTTACCCGATCATGGCTAAATATAGTCTTTTGCTCAATTAAGCTGTGATGAGCAGAGATGGCTCTGAGATATACTTTTACCAATGATATGGAGAGCCCCAAGGATTTCATATAAAGTACTTCAGTATGGATTGAACAGAAGCTGAACATGGATTTCTGTTATAGCTGGTTCTCCAAAAAGAGGACCTTTTCCATTTATGACAACATAGGTGAGTTGACTGTTTCCTGGAGGACAACTATATCTCCTGTACTGTTTCTGAATAGGACAGTTCCAGATTTGCCAAAGCCCTGTGGCCCATGGTGTTAAATGGAAAGAATCTGGGTCTGGATAGCAAATCTAACTGCTCTTCTGGTCAACAGGTCTGGAATTGCAGGCAAAGACAGAAATCCCTTATGATAGCTGCAGGAGATCCAAAACCACTATTGTCTTGCCCAGGCTTGGGCTATCAGAATAACCCTGGCTTTGCTTGATTTTCCTGAGAACTTCCTGCATTAGAGGAATTGGGGGGAAATGCATAGAGGATGTCCCCACCACCAGCCCTGAAGAAGTACTGCTAAGATAGAGTGGTGGTCTGCTTTTGCTCTGGAGTTGTGTGTGGTTGAAAATATGTCTCTCTCTGGATACAGTCACAGAAAGATATTGTTGTTTACTACTAAATTCTTGAGTGATCACTTGTGCTCAGGGGCGGATCTATGTTTTTTGCCGCCCCAAGCATGGCAGTCAGGCAGCCTTCGGTGGTGTTTCTGTGGGAGGTCCGCCCAGGTCACGCGGATTCGGCAGTGGTTCTGCGGATGATCTGCCAGTCTCGCACTGGCGTACCCACCGCCGAATTGCCGCCAAAACCGCGGGACTGGTGGACCTCCTGCAGAAACGCCGCCAAAGGCAGCATGACTGCTGCCCTCACAGTGACCGGCAGGCTGCCCCCCACGGCCTGGTGCCTGGAGCCGCCCCTGCTTGTGCTGAGCATATAAGTGTCTGCTCAGCTGATCCGCCTGCATATTGTCCTTGTCAGCAAGATGGAGAGTTACAGGATAAAAATTGGTGTACCATGCACCACTCCTATAGAACTACAGCCTCTTTGCACAGGTGGCTATAACGTGTCTCTCTCCACAACCCCCATCCACTTGTTCATGTAAAATACTGCTGTAATATTGTAAGGAGTTACCTGAACCACGCTGCCACGTAGATGAGCGAGAAAGTATTTATGAGCCCAATATATTGCTCTAAATTTTAGCATGTTGATAGCAATTTTTTCTCTCTGGAATGCCAGTGACTTGTTAGATTCTTTTAATAAGCCCCAACTGGATGCATTGGAAGTGACTGTAGCTGATGCAGCTAGGGGTTGAATGCAATCCCTTTGAGGGCATCGCAACACTGAGTCCACCATATGAGTCACAGGAACAGATCTCCAGGTAGTGTCAATGTCATAAACATGCTGTCTGTATTTGGAATACAGTATCTTGCTAACCAATGTTGTAGAGGCCTCATCTTCAGAGATTTGTACAGAGTTAAATTGTGTGGCTGAAGCCATAAAGCCCATCAACTTGAGGGAAAAAATCACTGTTTGACAAGAGTTCTCCTGTATTATTGCTATTGCTGTAAGGATTTTGAAATGCCTTTCTTCTGGAAGAAAAGCTCTGCCTTTCTGAGAATCCAGAACTGCCCCAATAAAATATATGACCTGGTTTCTTGAACTCCAGTGTTTGGAACAAGGTACATATCTGTGATGTAGCTTTTGCTAGGTCCTCCTGTAAGGACACCCTGATAAGCCAATTGTCTAAGTAAGGGTACATAGATACTAGGACAGCTCATATATGTTGCTACTGCTCAAAAACAGTTTGTGAATACTCCACATATCATAGTGTGTCCAAAAGAGGACCTTGAATTGGTATTGATCTCCTCCCACCACAAATTCTAGATATTTTGGATGGGAAGATCTGATTCACATGTGAAAATAAAAGCATCTTGTAAATCAATTTTTGAGTCCCAAACCTGTCTTGTCAGGAATAAGGAGGGAAGGAGTGAGCCTAGGGTAAGCATGAGAAAGAAAATGGAATATATAGCCAAGAAGAATGTGGGAGAAAAAAAGTGAGAGAGGAACAAAAACAAAGAAATGGAAGCAGAAATAAAATACAATTTTATGGTTTGTATACTTCCTTAATTTATTCAAACATATTATCCCAGTTATGTTTTAAGGATGTCATTTATTATTTTATTTTTTCATTGTTACTTTTAATTTTTTTAAATATACCGCAGATCTTGCATGAAATGTGGTGAAGGAGGGCAAAAGAATTCTTTCTTGGAGCCTCCATTGACATAA